AAAAAATCTGATGAACAGAATAAACTGGTGAATATAATAGAAGCAGGGGCATAGAAAGGGAATGGACTGACAATTCTCAGGGGGAAGGGGGTGGGGGGGGTGCGGGAAGAGATTGGACAAAAATCTTACACCTATGGATGAGGACAGTGGCGGGAGGTAAGGGCATGGGGTGGGGTGGGAACTAGTTGGAGGGGAGCTATGGGGGTAAAAAAAAGAGGAACATCTGTAATAATCTGAACAATAAAGATTTATTTTTTTAAAAAGAAAATATACTATTTAAAATAACAAAAAATATCTAGCAATAAATCTCACAAGAGACATGCAAGATCCTCCTGTAGAAAATTATAAGCCTCAAATGATAAACTTTAAAGAACTAAATAAATGGAGAAATGCACAATGGTCACAAGTAGGAAGACTCAATGTCGAAAAAGATACAAAACTTCCCTAAGTGAATCTATAGACTTCATACAAGTCCAAACAAATACAAGAAAAATTTTTGTTTAACTTGACAGTTAAATTCTAAAATTTATGAGAAAATTCAAGTATCAGTCAAGGCCTAGATCAATTCTTAGAAATTTTTTTTTTTTTAAGCTGAAGAAACAAGAATTTTGAGGCCTTTAGCCCTTTTGGATTTCCTCCTGGATAAATAAGTTAACATTCTTCAGAAATTCTATGGAAATCAAGACTTCTCCAGAAATGGACAGGGAACTCTTAGTCCCAGGAGAGTGCTAAGCACATGACAGTGATCTTGGGGCAGAACATCCTGTGGGCTGCCATTCTATATTCCTATCCCATGGGAAACTGCTATTTAAGATGTTCCCACCAGGAATCAACCTTACCCACATTTTTAGCACTCAGTGTTGCTCTTTCCACAAAGTCTCTGGAAGCAACTTACAGCAGATCCCTGTTGAGCTTTTTTGTTGTTGCTGTTAATCCTCACCTTCCCATTGATTTTTAGAGAGAGTGGAAGGGAGGGGAAGAGACACACAGAGAAAGAAACATCAATGTGAGAGAGACACATGGATTGGTTGCCTTCCACACGAGCCCCAACCAGGGCCAGGGACTGAGCCTGCAACTGAGGTATGCCGAAATCAAATCTGGGATGTTTCAGTCTGCAGGCCGACACGCTATCCACTGAGCCAAACTGGCTAGGACCCTGTTGAGCCTTTTAATAACCATTCCAGCTACTTTATGGAATTCATTTGTCAAAAAATATAAATTGATGTCACACTAGATGGTATGACCAACCTCCTTCTACCAGGGCTCATCACTGTTGGCAGACAGTATCTCAGCTTATATCCAAGGGGACTTGGCAAATACTCCAATGAGAGGGTCCATTCTTGAGTCATTCAAAGCAGCATAAGCAGCCTGGCCATTTTGTTTCTTTAGAGCCTCTCTTGCTGCCTACTAATGCGAGAATAAGTATAATCCTTGTTTCCCCGTGCATCGAGTTTTTGGTTTACCAATATCACACTTTTCAAGGTTGAAGAGATCTCCCAAATCACCTTAGTTTCATCCCCTGATGCTCTCTGCACCTTCTCCAGCTCCTCCTTTTCTTTCCTGTCATTATGATAAAGGCCAGCAAACCCCCATGCTACACTTCACTCATCTGAGCAGCGGGACAAAGTTGCCACGGGTACCTACTTGTGGCATGGAGAAGGTGCCCAAGTGTGGGTGAGTCCCCAGTTCACAAACATGGCTGAGGATGAGAAAGTACTAGTGTGGTTATTTGGTCATCAGGCAGAGAATGTGTGTTCTCTTCCTGAGCAGAGGGACAGCCTCTCACTAGATGGGCTCCAAACTCAAGCTGGATCATGGTCTGAGCTGAGTAAGGATTGGGTGTTTGGTGTCTTTGGATGGCAACGCAGAGACAAAGGGAAAGGAAGATGGAAAGAGGAGAGAGAGAGAGAGAAAAGGAGAAGAAGAAGAAGGAGGAGGAGGAGGAAGGGGGGGGAAGAGGAGGAGGAGGAAGAGGAGGAGGAAGAGGAAAAGGAAGAAGAAGAAGAAGAAGAAGAAGAAGAAGAAGAAGAAGAAGAAGAAGAAGAAGAAGAAGAAGAAGAAGAAGAAGAGGAAGAGGAAGAGGAAGAGGAAGAGGAAGAGAAAGAGAAGAAGAAGAAGAAGAAGAAGAAGAAGAAGAGAAAGAGAAAGAGACAAAGAAAGAGGAAGAGAAAGGCCTTAGAAGGGCCATATTCCAGAAGACAAGCTAACAGTTACCTGAGGAGAAAAGGTGAAAGAAACAAGTGGCATTAAAATATCAGAGTTACCTAGGAAAGTCCAATTTTTCTTTCTATTTCAGGAGTGTCAATGCACCTCTGCAGAATAATGAAAAGGACGTAAATTGAGTAAAAATATCACCACGCAATCTCGTGTTGAAATGTATGCATGGATTTAAGGCCTCCCTCCAGGCTCTTCTGCCCTCTCTCTCCTGAGCTCTAAGCTGGATTTGACCTTCTATAGATTGGCACTGCCAATGTCTGCAGACCTTTGCAGGCTGCTCTTCTTGTAGCTATGACTCAATATTTGAAAATGTGATGCCAACTCTTCTCAACCATTCTCACGTCTGGGGTTAAAGGTGAAGATCTCATGAGGAATGCCTCTGAACTGAGCTGACCTGAGAACATGGGTAAGGACTTGTGCTCTTTGCTGCAGATTACGGTCAATAGGATGCCAGGATCCACTTAGCACAAACAACCTAAGAGAGCTCTAAAGAAAATGTGGTAAGGAGAGCAGATAATATCTACTGTCTATTAGAGAATTGCTGAGAATTAGAAAGTAGAAAAGAGCGAAGATTATTCTTGAATATTGTTTTCATCAATAATTCTTGGAAATTTCAGAGTGAATATTGTTAAAGCCCTGTTTCTAGAAAGACATGAGGAGGTTCTGAAGCCATAGTTCTATGTATATTGACATGAATTTCATACTTTGCCCCCCCAAATAAAATAAGGTATAAGTCATTTAATCGCATGCTGACCAAGAAACACCTCCACAACTCCCCCCAGAAGAAGAAATGCTGGACTTACGTTGGTGACATATTCGATGTCCTTCCAAAGGATGCACTCCCTGGGGAAATCAGCCAAGTCTAAGAAGTGGTCCACCACCACCTGGCCGATTAAGTCGTGGCGGGAGAACCTGTCAAAGTCATACACAGAGAAGTGCAGTTTCCGGGCCTCAAGGTCGTTGTAGGGAACCGGAAACAGAAACACTTCGTCAAACACAGGGTTCAGGGTCTTCCTGTGAACTTTGGTCTGGTGTTTTGTTTTCCGATCCGGAAGCAAATAGATCTTGACGTAAGGATCTGAGGTCCCAGAAAAGTCCTTGGCGGGCAAATTGACGGCTTTGTGAATCTTCACTATTAGCTGCTCTAGGTCACAGTCATATTTTAAAATAAAGTTCAGTTTCCCACAGGCTTTGCTGTTACTCCTTCTCCCATCATCGCTGTCCAGTGACCTCTGCTTGTATAACTCCGGTTTAATGCGGCCGATCCCGGCCAGCTGTTCTTGTTTTTGCAGTTGCTGGATATTGAAGTCCGGGTTCGACAGGTTGAGTTGTCCTCGGATTGAATTATGCCTTCAGTGAGGAGCAAGAGAGGACAAAGTTATAACCTCATTAGCTACAGGTCTTTCAGAAAAGTATGCCTGGGATGTAGGTAGACTGTTACGCACGGTTAAAAAACTTAGATCTGTGGGCCCTTTTTTTGGGGGGTGGGGGGGGGCTAAATTCAATATGCTCATCAATGTGAGTAAGCTTCTCCCCAAGGCTTGAAACCCAAAATTGAGGGCTGGTGAGCTTATCTGGCCGGTGGGATGTAAAGATTTGTTCACACTGGTTTAAAAATAAAATTATTCACTTTTATATACAATGTCATCCTGAAACTGAAATAACTGTCTGTGTGTCTTCTTAAGAAGAATGATTCCATCTCTAAATTGCACGGACTTTCCTATCACCGGCTTACCGCTTTCTAAGGCTGTATATTCTTACTGCTTCAAATCAGATCATTTCCTCCCAAGAACACAAGTTTTGCTTGTGTGAGGGTGGATGTATGGGACAGGACGTGTCTGCTCGCAGTGGACCACATCGGCTCTGACAGGGGCGAGTGACAGCTCTGTGAGTGTCCGCAATGCCACGTGGGTCACTGCTGAGCAGCAGGAAGAGTTTATTTCTGTAATAAACACTACGGGCATCAAAGGGAAGGGAAGCTGCTAAAAATGTATATGAGGATTCAGTCAGGGAAGGCTGGATACCGACACTTGCAAATCAAATATTTGCTAACAGAATCGACTCTTCACCCAGTACTAGTAAGCTTATTGGTTTGGGCTAGAAGCTTCCCAGAAATTCTCTTTGAAACGTGCATCATTGTGTGGGTCTTGGTAAACGGAAAGAAGCAGTCATTACATACAAGATTTTTCTTATGGCCATTTTTGTTTGTTTTTAGCTCAGATTTCAGAGGCATGATACTGTATTTTCTGTAGTCTCTCAATAATCTTAATTAAAATAACCTCTCACCACCAGGTCAAAAGCAACAGCCGGCCGTCTCAGATGGATTGGTAAATATGTAGTTGGAGAGGCAGAATAAACATTTGAGTTTATCTTGTTTTCCTTTCTGAAGGCTACTTTATAAAATAAAGATGTAAAAGTGGAATAAATAGCCACCGAGACATGGTTAAAACTATTCTCCCTTGTCATTCAGATGTTGCTATGCTGAACATTCCTCTTTGTCCTAAAATACACTCCTAGTCACTGAGCTGGTATAACAAGAGCACAATCACAGAGCTGCCATTTGCACCTGTCACAGCCAACACAGTCCCCCACAAGCAGACACATACCCCAGGCACGGACATTGCCACACACACACCCCAGGCACGGACATTGCCACGTGAGTAAAAACTGTGTGGTCTGAAAGTTTCTGCTGTGAGATTTTAATTTCCTGCAGAGAAATCCACAACCTTAAGTTTCCTCTGTATCTCTGATTTTTCAGGGGTAGGGAGAGAGATGGCAGATGCTCTTAAGCACCTAAATTGCCTCTCTGTGCAAGTATAGCCAAGTCACTCCCTTGTGGAGATGCTAACCTCTGGAGTGCTAGAACAGAGCTTTAGTCTTGCTCTGCTGGGATCTCTGGGCAGAAATGACTGGCAGGGAGCAGCGAGTACCTAGCCCTATGCAGAGGCCTTAAGGGGCTGGTACCAGCTCTGGCTTCCACTGCTATTGCTTTTTCCCTCCAGGCTGGCTTCACACAAGAGCCACGATGGGGTCTGGAGTCAGTTCACATCTATGATGGCCATTCTGGGAACTCTTAGTGACACTGTTTAAATACTAAAAGTGCTCCATCTAGACCAGAGGTGGGCAAACTTTTTGACTCGAGGGCCACAATGGGTTCTTAAACTGGACCGGAGGGCCGGAACAAAAGCATGGATGGAGTGTTTGTGTGAACTAATATAAATTCAAAGTAAACATCATTACATAAAAGGGTACGGTCTTTTTTTTTTTTTAGTTTTATTCATTTCAAACGGGCCAGATCCGGCCCGCAGGCCGTAGTTTGCCCACGGCTGATCTAGACCCACGGGATACGCCTTCTCTGCACCAGCGTCTGTGATGGGACGCTGGTCCTGAGTCCACGCCAGCCCCAGACTCTGCTGTCACTTCTCCCCCGAGGTGCTCTGAGCAGGCTCTCTGTGCATCGCAACTTACCTTCGATGTTTTGGAAAGACTGGCTTCAGATTCATCAGAGGAACATTTTGTCTTAACCCTTATCTGCAGGACGAAGCTAGCCACGTACATTTACATTTTAATTTAAACCTACATGAATTTGGCTGCTTAGCAATGGAACATACTCTGTTTTCCTCGTACATTTTCTTAAGACATGAAATCTGAAGAGAAGTAAGTCCTACGTGTTCCGCTGTTCCCGGCCAGGGGGTAGACGGAGTGCATTGGGGAGGGCGTTAGGGAGAGATTTGTATTTCAAAAACCAAAACATCCCCTCAGAAAGCAATTAGGATGCCTCCATTCCAAATTCCAACACAGCTGAAGATTTCTTTTAAAAATTGAGCGCAGGTATGAATACTATTATCCACCCAAATGTTATATTTGAGTTTCATTCCCAAACTCCCCCCGCCCCCATTCAGAATCACACTTACTTTGGGGAAAACGGTGGAACCCACTGTAAGGCAGTGGCTTAAAGCAGAGAGCAGGGACTGTAACAGGCCAGGACAGTTCTCACTCCCTGGGGCTCTCTTTCAGTCACTTTCAATTTCCTTTCAGGAGAGAGTCAGCGATTCCCGGAGTTGGAGGCATGGGCTAGAGATGCTCAGGGCAGCCAGAGAACCAAGGTAACTCATCACCTCCCTGCATACTCTCTGCAGCTCTCTGGACTGAGAAATGAGAAAGTAGAGCAGGGAGCCTGCCCCAGGGACATGGAGGAGAAGGGAGGTAGAGGAAATGGAAAATCAATATTCCATGGCTCTCCTGGGCTATTCAAATGGAGTTGGGAGGATAAGCAAGTCAACAGCAAGACAGAGGAAAGATTCAGAACCGAGTGTTGTGGCCTGGCTCCCAGCACCCAGATGGTCAGTGGAGGTGGTACTTGAGTGCACTAAACTAGAGGCCTTGCCCCGCCCATCACGGCTCTAGGATTTGAACGCTGCTGAGTGACACTGAGAGTGTGATAAGGAGGGATCTGTGTCCCAGGTAGGCGTCCACTGAGCAGGGCTGGGGAGTCCAGTATTTTGGTGTTCTCAGGGCTTAATGTATACAATGAATGGAAGGAGAGGAGGTGAGCCCCAAGGATGGGTGTGATAAGGAATGCTGTACCTACATTTCACCCTAACGCTGTCTTAGAAAGCTGGCCCTGGAGTTGAAACTCTCAGCGTGGTCCACCTCCCATTAAAGGCCAGTTTCCTGTCTGAAAGAGGCCAGGATGAGAACTTCCTGGACGTGGCTGTCCCAGACCCGAGCTGGAAGACTCGTGGTTGGGCCTGAAGAAAGCCTAATTTCAAAGATGACTAACAACATCTATGAAGCAGACTTCCCCTAACAAACTCAAAAACACGCTTCCATGCCTGAAGGGATCTGAGCCTGTGGTTCAGTTGCAGCTAAAGGTCAGGAGCCGCAGGTGCCCAGATGCAAATGGCTTTTCCTCCCCTCCTTCCCTCAGATTCAAATGAACTACGTCCAGTCCCACGTTGAGACCCCCAAAGTCTCAGTCCCAGAGCCATCACCCAAAGGCCAACTTCCTCCACTGGATCTTAAGAAAGAGAACATTACTGTGATTCAACAAATTTGAATGTGCAAAGCATGGTGTCAGGTAGGGCAGGAGGGAGAGAGAGGCAAACCTCTTCAATGCCTTCAAGGAAATGACGCCCAGGCGGGTGATGAGATAGTCATACACTAACTATAAATCAGGGCAGAGGGGGATTAAAAACCCCATGACTGGAGGTTAGAGAGCCACAGAAGCAGACAGAGGGGAAAAAAATGCCTCTGGCTTGGGAAACTGTCATGGAGGAGATGGAACTTGAGCTGAGCCTGCCTACTTAACTTGGCCTCATCCTTATCAGCCTTCAAGCTGACACTCTAGACCTCAACAAGGAAATTAACTGTGTTTTCCTCTTGGTCCCCAGCTCTCCAGCAAGATGAGGTCTCCAGCTCTTCTGCCCCAGCAGCTTTCTCCTAACATCTGGCACTCAGACTGCCAGCATCCCTCCCATTGCTGGATTTCCCCTGTGCAGCCACAGACAAGGGTACACTCTTCTATCCTCCTGCCTCTCAGGGCCCCCATCTCAGAGGTGAAACTTGGTCGATCTTTTCCCTAGTTCTGGGGCATCCATGTTGACAAGGCTTCAGGGTCCAAGGAGAGGGAAGAGAGAAGCAAATTGTTATTTCGGAACCATATTGGGTTTCTTTACTAAGTTCAAGTCAAGACAGGGAGGTTTGGAAACAGTGCAGACAGGACTCTGTTTCCCTTCTTGAAACTCCCCTGGTGATGGGGAGGAGAGAGTTGGGTTGTCCTGATCCACAGGCAGACACTGAGGAAGGGGCGTGGCAGACAGGACAGGCGCAGTGACCTGATTACAGGGCAGGATGGGGAATCTGAGGCTTTCCTGTAATGGGATTCACAGGCTTCTAGAGCGAGTGAGATAATGAAGATGTAGGCATCAGGTCTTGGCCAGTGGAGGTGTGTGGTCAGGTATAGTTAGATACACTAAAGCATAACCAGTTTCTTCCCACTTCCTCCCAAGCAAAACAGGTTTAAAACCTTGGTGTCACCTTCCAATATTGTGCCCCCCAAGACTAAGGTGAGCCTATGTCCCCCATTCCTGAGATTAGCCTTAGTATGTCCCCAATTAGTCTGCAGGCGTTTGAGGCCAGAGCTATATCTTTTTTTCTCTTTATTATTAGCATATAATGTAGAACTTTGCACATAGCAGATGCTTAATGCATGCCTCTAAAGTAAATATAGGAATGCCACAGACATAACAGTTTCCTATAATTAAATCCCAGTCCAGAAAATACACATTTACATCTAGTTGAGAGAGGTCTACGTAACTTCCACTTTTGAAGATGTCAGTATATTAAAA